ACCCCATCACCCCAAACCACCCGAACGAACCCCACCCCCTGCCAACCCGAAAACCGAAACCCACCCAGCCCCAGAACCGTACCCACCTGCCCATCAATCCAGCCCCATACCCCTCCCACTCCTATACAATTTGGTAGCCTCTCCCCCACCATGATTAGTCCCGAATCATCCCATATCCCCTCCCCACCACCACCACCACCCATACGCCACCCGATGACAACTCGTGCACGGAGTGGCATCTTCAACCCAAACTTTATTCCACCACCACTCAGCCCTCTTCCCCACCTACCACAGAGCCAGTTACATATAAGGAAGCCTCCCAGAATAGTTATTGGTGTCAGGCCATGGATGAAGAATATAATGCCTTGATTAGTCAACACACATGGGATCTCGTTCCGGCACCTTCAGATCGTGTTCCTATTGGGTGTAAGTGGATTTATAAAATTAAACATAACTCTGATGGCTCTGTTTCCAGGTACAAAGCACGTCTAGTGGCAAAGGGATATACACAGGAATATGGCTTGGATTACTCTGAGACTTTCAGCCCAGTTGTTAAACAGCAGACTATTCGGTTGGTTTTGTCCCTAGCTGTGAATCACAACTGGCCTCTTCATCAGTTAGATGTCTCCAATGCTTTTCTTCACGGAGTTATTCCTGATAAAATCTATATGAAGCAGCCTCCAGGTTATGTCGATGAGCGCTACCCTCATCATGTGTGTAAACTACAAAAATCCTTGTATGGTTTGAAACAGGCACCTAGAGCTTGGTATCAACGTCTCTCCGGATTCCTTATTGACTATGGCTTTGGGAAGAATGAACATGACACAAGCTTCTTTGTTAAGCACTCTCCCTTGGTGTTCTGATTGTTCTACTCTATGTTGATGACATCATTGTCACTGGTAGCGCCTCCTCCCTCATCTCTTCATTTATTCATGCTATGCAACAAGAATTTCAAATGAAGAACCTTGGCCCTCTTCACTATTTTTTGGGACTTGAGGTGACACGCACAAAGGATTATCTGATCTTGTCTCAAGAGAAATATGCCCGTGAACTGCTTCACAAGGCCGGCGTCGACAACTGCAAAACAGCCCCTAATAATATTTAACTATGAAAAGCAGACTAAATCACAATAATGCTACTAGGACATACATCAATTTTAACACCAAATCAAATTAAAGTTATTGGTACAATAATTTCTTGGAAAATGGTCGAACGCTTCCAAATGGTTGCTACCATGGGTGCACTCAAATTTCGTACCACGATATGTGTAATCTGTTTCATATGTGCAAAACTTAAGTGCACCCACGATAGCAATTATTGGAGACACCCTGTCATGATCCTAATTTCTTTGCCAAGGAGAATTGAACATAAAATATCACAATTAGTTTTGACACCAGTTTTGACACCACCCTTTTTTCACAAGCAATCACACACACAAAAGAAGTGGCACGTGGCAGAACTGGTGTGTGTATTAAATGCCACGTAATGTGCGGCTTCAAGGAACAAAAAAAGAAAATGGGGACTCAGACCAGATTTTGTTGGGTAGTGTTTTGGATTGGAATCTCCCATTGTTTGAATGTTTTGTTTTCTTCTTTTTCTTTACTTTTCTTTGGTTGACTCTCTCTCTCTCAGCTCTTCCATAAATCCATTCTTCAGCTTTATGTGAAAATGTTGTTCTTCATCCGTGTAAGAAAGAGGGGAACAATAAATTCCAAATCTAAAAAGTATAATAAATGTTAGGAAAAATTACCCAAAATAATCTCAACTTTATCTGATCTTTCAAAAATAATCCCACCTTTCACTGTGATGCATAATAATTCCAACTTTATTGAAATTTGCCAATTTTGGGTCGCCGTTAAGTTTCTAACGGAGGGTTAACGGAAATGCCCGTTTTAGGCAACAAAATGAAAGTTGGGATTATTTTTGATGAATTTTTGTTTTTTAATTTTTTTTGAAATTTTTATTTAAAATTTTTGAATTACTTTCAACCTCCATTTCTCTTTCTTTTGTAAAGATTATTCTTACCTTAGAAAAAAAAGATATAAAAAATAATGAAAATGAGAAAAGTAACTAAAACCATACAAAATTAATCAAATAAATAATGTAATCAATAGAAATTAAAAAAAACTGGTAAGAAATAAAATAAATATATACGGAGTGGTGGGTTTTAACATTTTACACACTATACGGAGTCTTAATGTACTACTTATTTTTTAAAAGAAAAAGCCGTCATGTAAAATTGGAATTATTGTAGATAATTTTTTATAAAAAATAAGAATTGATATGTTAATACTTTGTATAGTGCGTAAAATATTAAAACCCACCCGTATATTTTTATTTTACTTTTACCAATTTCAAGTTAGTTTCCATTGATTACCTTATTTATTTTATTATTTTTGTATCATTTTAGTTACATTTCTCATTTTTTTCATTTTTTTATATCTATTATTTTATTTTTTTAAACTAAGACTAATCTTTAAAAAAGGAAAAAGAAATGATGATGGAGGTAGAAAGTAATTTTAAAAATTTAANCTTTGTATAGTGCGTAAAATATTAAAACCCACCCGTATATTTTTATTTTACTTTTACCAATTTCAAGTTAGTTTCCATTGATTACCTTATTTATTTTATTATTTTTGTATCATTTTAGTTACATTTCTCATTTTTTTCATTTTTTTATATCTATTATTTTATTTTTTTAAACTAAGACTAATCTTTAAAAAAGGAAAAAGAAATGATGATGGAGGTAGAAAGTAATTTTAAAAATTTAAATGAAAAATTTAAAAAAAATAAAAAAAATGAAAATTCATCAAAAATAATCCCTACTTACATTTTGTTGCCTAAAACAGGCATTTCCGTTAATCCTCCGTTAGAAATTTAACGGCGACCCAAAACTGACAAATTTCAGTAAAGTTGGGATTATTATGCATTACAGTGAAAAGTGGGATTATTTTTTAAAGACCGGGTAAAGTTGGGATGATTTTGGGTAATTTTTCCTAAATGTTAAGCATTGATAGAATTTAGGATGCGTTATGGACAATTGGATTGAGCTAAAAGACACTTGGGTTGAACCACATTAAAAGATTGAATCCAATCGATTAGTTAGTTCAACTCAAGAGTCAAGAGCTTATATACCGATTATTTTACTCTTGGACTTCCGATGTGGGATGCACTCTAACGAGCATCGTTTCGTACACGAAATTGACGGAATTGAAATAGAATTGAGAGTTGAAATTTTATGTGATTGATTTGGATGGAATTGAATTCCTCAATTTCAATTCATTTTTGACATTGTCAATTCCAAATCCACATATTATTGTGCTATCAAACAACAGAATTTGAATTGTTGACCCTAATTCTAATTCAATAGTTTGAAGTCTGCATACTAAACAAATCCTAAATGCACTTCAAATTATTCCACACGAGATTACCCTAAGATAAAACTAATTGAAGAACGAGATTATGTTATTGCTGTTCAAGATATTCACTCTGAAAGACATGATGAAGTTGATTCGTCATTTGAACCAAAAGATTAAAAAAAACTATTTATGCATATAACTTGATAACTTTAGTTTAAAGTTATGACTTTAACTTTTAAAAAAAAGGAGATTATGACTTCAAAAATACAAATTGAGCAATTTTCAACAAAATTAAGGATAACTGTTTTATGTTTCTAATACGCCTTATT